CCGCCGTATATCCGTTGATTCCCGAAAGACTAGACAAGTTTGTAAGTAGAAATATAGCTAATTCGGAACGCACCCATGGTAGCGACGAAACATGCCAATGGTCACGTTCAGCAGGCACAACTGTTGAGTAAGCGCTCAATGATTTCTTAACATGATTGGCTGGATCTAAAGCGTCGTCTACAATAACCGGCGTAAGCGTGGAGTAAGAAGAAGTAAGAAAACCTAACCTTTACCTTTCAGTGTAAAAGCTAAAGAATAGACATAATTTTTTTAAATATTTGTAGCACTGGTCGAACTACGCTTTAATTCGCCGCGAGTAAGCGTCAGAGCTGAAGTAGGAGTAGGAAATGGAAATGATCCATTTCTTTACTCCTACTCTTACTTCTTACGTCAAGCTTACTCCACCTATTGTAGACGACGCTTAAAAGTATTAGGCCCGGTTTCACCAACGCGAGTTAATCTAATCGGTCGGTTAACTTAACAGGGTGCCAACATAAAACTTCTTTATTAACCTATTTTCTTGGTATCAGTTTTATGTTCGGCTGTTGGCACCCTGTTAAGTTAACCGACCGATTAGATTAACTCGCGTTGGTGAAACCGGACCTTAAGCCCGTATCAGACTACGGATTGAGATTGGGATTAGATTGAAATTTGACCAATCAGAGTAAAAGTTACTGAACTTGAGATTAGTAAACTTTCCGTCACCTGTGCTGTTAGGGCGCTCATTATAGCGCTAAATAGCATCTCCCCGAACGCAGCCTAAAGCACACGGTCTTGATCGTGTGCAAAAACTCAGTTAAATCTGGTTGAATCTCACTTCTCAAGAATCAAAAGGAACATGCACTCAACTGAGTTAAACTCAACGAAATGAAATCCCTAGGAGCTTAATCGGAGCTTTGTGCTGTGTGGGTTGGCAAAACCTACTGTGCTATCTCGGTTTACAATTATGCGACTTGTCCGAGCTGAATCTCGCGTACAAATAACAATTTTTTTATTATTATTGTATAAGCGAACGTAATCCAGAGTTTTCTCACAAAAAGCTCGTCGCTGTAAAACCGTTGACTCATTTCCCGCTATAATTTCGATTGTTCCTGCCATGCAACCGCCAGCAACCGCCACGCCGTCCCGCGCCACTTCCTCCTCCCGACTCCGCGACCGGAAGCACACGTGTAGAAAAAGAGATTCCTCCGCGGCGAAAGTCACGCGTGTAGTCGTGTACCCGCGCTCGAATGCAAATCGCACGCTAATTAGACGACGTCGTCGGAAATGTCGAGACGAGCCGCGCGCGGAGGGAAGGACGCGGACGGGAGGGAAAAATCACTTAGCTACATTTTTCATTTTCGCGCAGGGACGCCCGTGAAATAAATAATGGCTCCCGGGTGTCGCGGGAATTTCTATGCTAATATACCGCGATCGTTAGACCGGCAGTCGACGGACACTTACAGACACTTAAGGCCTTCACACACGAATCTACTTAACACGTAACACGTAAACCGTAAGGAAATCAACAGATTGGATTTGCTACTGCTTGCGTTATTGCCTTACGTTCTCGACTGTGATTGGTCGATTTCCTTACGGTTTACGTGTTACGTGTTAAGTAGATTCGTGTGTGAAGGCCTTTAAAGAGAAGTCAAAACGGAGTGAGAGAAGAGAGAGAGAGAGAGAGAGAGAGAGAGAGAGAGAGAGAGAAAGAAGAAGAAGACCCCCGTTCACTCGCCGCGTCGATATTTACGTGAATATTCCACCGGGAGTACCCCAGCGGCGCATCGAGAGTGCATTACGCGGCGCATTCTTTTTCCTCTTCCATTTTACGAGCCCGAAACGACGACGTCGATCGTATCCGAACGTCGAGCTTCTTCCTTCCTTCCTCCTTGCTCCTCTTATCAGGAAAAGATATCGCCGCGACGACGACAACGACGACGACGCACCATTCTCCCGTTAGTCCGTCGAATCGGGCCAGAGGGTTCATCAGCTTCTATTATCTTTCCTATAATACATTAATTGAGAAAGAGAGAGGGAGCGAACGAGCGAGCGAAAGAGAGCGACAGAGAGAGAGAGAGAGAGAGAGAGAGATATCTTGGATTCGAAACCAGTTCCATTCCACGCGACTACGCGAAGCGTCGTCGTTCGTCGCTCTTCTCTCCTCTCGAGTTCAATGGCACTCGCCACACTTGGGCCACATTGTACGGGCATTTTTCCCCGAGCGACGGCGCGTATGTACGCGAGGACAAAAGGTGTACTTGAACTCCCCGCTCGTGTCCCTCGTCGGCGACGCCACGTGTCTCCCCGAACGTCGGCTCGTCCACGTTTTCGAGAGACTCCTCTCGAGCGAGAGTATTACCCCGCGCGTAAACGCAAGTTTGCTGTTTTTATTTGTCTCACTTACCGGCGTCTCTTCCTCGAGATTCCTCCCCGATAAGAGCGGCCTCGCGTTGTTACATCGAAAGTTCGAGTGCCCATTGTATTAATGCCGAGCCGCTCGCCTATGCTCACTGCGGATCGTTCACCAGTCAAGCGGTAACTATAATAAGGCTTAACGGTAAATGGCGAACACCGTCGGTCCAATCACCGCTATTTATGACAGTTTGATATTCCTCGACTGTCACCGAATAGCGTCCACGTGGAAAGGAGTCTCTGATCCTCATGACGGAGAGCTCGTTTGGGAAATGTTTTCCCCGATCCCCGTCCACGATTTCCCCGCTGAATGTATTGACTACAATATGCTCTTTGCGTCTAGAAATGTTCGATTTTATATAAGCAAATCAAACCGCTGAAAAAAAACTTGGTCGACAACGTACGATTGTACAGTGTACAATTTATCAACTTGCACACATTTTTTAAACGTATTTATTGACTACAAAATAGATAAGTCGAGGCAGCGGCAGCGAGTAAAAGCGTCCCGTGTGTTTTCAGGATGAGCGCAAAGCCAAACGTGCCAAGCGGATAAACGGAGTTTTACGAAGTCGACCGAGGAAGGAGGAAAGAGAGGGAGAGAGAGAGAGCGCGCGCGATGGTGGTGGAGTGGCTGTGTCCTGGACTCAGGCCGACCAGGAGCAATAGGCCTCGCCTTCTGCACTGCAAGGTGATACTCCTGGACGAGCACGAATTGCTGCAGGACGTCCTGGTAAGTTCCGGGCCTCAGGACTCGACTATACCTTTCTCTCGTTCTTATCCTCGTCATAGCGTATTATTCCTACTTTATTCGGTAAGATTAAACAAGCAAGCGAGAAGAGTTTCGAGTGTGGGCCCGGATAGCTCGGTAGGAGAGCATCCGCCCGGCAAGCGGAAGGTCCTCCTCGAAGACACACTCCTATTTATTACTATGGAGGCCGTGCTCGTTTCGCATTCACCCACTCCGAAGACAACCTGTTGTTCGGGCAGGACAACGGCGGGGAATTTGTTTATTTACTAAAGGGGTTGTGGCCACTCTGCACTCACACGATGATCTACCAAACCATTGAGTGAGATACCACGCGGCGCTCTGGAGTCGCGCTGCTAGTCTACTATCCCTACTTTATTCAGTAAAATAAAGTAGGTAAGCGAGAAGAAGATCGCGCGTGAACCTGGCTAGCTCAGTTGGAAGAGCATTCGCTCGGCAAGCGGAAGGTCCCCAGGTTCCGAATCCTGGTCTAGTCCTGGCTCGTTTTTCTCACCGAAAAACGGCGCTCTCTTCGGAGAAACGGCTACCGCTCGACATTACTGTCTCGCGAGAAACGCGCATAGGATGGTTGCGCCGTTTCTGCGAGTCGTCGTAACCCTTAGCGGTACCCACCCTATCCCGTAATTCGTGCGCGCAGCCACGTTGTAATTTAGCGAATTAATAGCATTTTCTCTCTCTCCCGGTTCGTTTCTGGACGGTTGTTTCGGTTGCCCGGGCTACCCGTGCCCGCCGGCTACGGTGTGTTATGGCCGACTGTGTCGGCGGCGGCGGCGGCTCTCCGCACGAGAGGAGGCGCGTACATATCTCAGGGGGGTATACCCGGAATTCCTTCGGTCTTCTCTGTTATTAGACGATATGCCAAAATTGGCGGTGGGCCACCGTGGGCCACAACGGCGGTAACGCCGCACCTCCTCCGCATCGCCGACGGCCATTGCCGCACACTAATTCTCGCGTCTTTTCAGCCTCTCTCTCTCTCTCTCTCTCTCTCTCTCTCTCTCTCTCTCTCTCTCTCTCTCTCTCTCTCTCTCTCTCTCTCTCTCTCTTCTTTTTCTCTCTCTTTCTCTGCCCGTCTCCCTCCGTTCTTTCTTTCTTTTTCTCTCTTCCTCTCGGAATCGCTCTCTCGCGTTGCGCGCTCTCCCTCCCTCCCTCCCTCCCTCCGTCTTCCTCTTATCCTCTCGCCACTTCCCTTTCACCGTCTAGCTCATTTTGTCGATTAACATTCCGGACTTGTATAAGCACGAATCCGTCGTTGTGTGTAACGCGTATACGTGTAACGCCCGTAAGCCCGCAGCGCAAACCGAATTCAGCCGGGCGCGTTAAAAACGAGAAGATTGTTCCCCAAGGAGGGATATATCGAGCGCAGAGTCGATCCGCGACGATTATCGAGGATCGCGAGGGGCAATGAAATGTTCCACCAGCGTGTCTTTCGCGCAGCGGCTGTGCGTACGAGTGCTCGCTCGAGAGGGAAACGATCAGTCCACTTCTGAATTCCAAGAAATATATCGAAGCGAACGTATATCGGAGGCAGTGATCTAATCAGGGGCGAATTCGGAGGGGAGGGCGCACCCTCCGAGAATGCTAGACTTACGCTAGGTAAAACGGGTTTCAAAACAAAAGGAAACGATCAAGATACAAAAATTAATCTTGGACCTGGTTGTATACTTTATTTATGTAATAATTCGTAAATCTCTTACTTTGTATGTATAGTCAGATCGCTTGAACAGGACTGAGACCCATGGTCGAAACGTAGCGAGCCCTAAAAATTAAAATTGCCAGATACGGTCAACCAAATTTGATGTTAATTATTGCTGGCGATCCTGAAGATTATTCTTGTTAGTTTAAAAAGTTAATATTGAGACAGTACACAAAGAAACTGTATGTACTTCATCAACCGAGCCTTTGCGAGTTCATTTAAATGCGCGCCGAATCTCAAGGACAAGTTTCCTACGAAATAAATTGGGTCTCTAGCCCTGCGCCCCCTCCGAAAAGGATTTCTTGGATTCGCTCGTGGATCTGATCGGCAGTACCCTGGCGTAATCGAACGGCGTGGAAATGGAAGAGAAGAGGCCGTTGCAAAACACGTCGTGGATGCAACCGAGAGGGGTACCGAAGGGGGGAAAACGGTCGCCGATACAGGCGGTATCGCGCGCTATCGTTACGCCGGTATCCAAATCCGTATCTTTCCGGTTTTACGCCGCCAGCTCGTAGAACCAGTCTGCCGGTAATCGCGGTATAATAGCGCGAAAGAATGGCCATGCGTCAAGATAGCGCGATACTGGATAAACGCGCGACTCCTCTTCTCTTTCCTCTCACCATGCGGAATCGGACTCCCCGCGGCCGTCCCGTCGCCGCGGTAGCAATTTCTACGTGGAATTAGCATGAGACATAGTACTCCGCGGTATGAAGACGAGAACCGATCGGGACGGTCCGCCGGACGTCCTATCGTGCGTCCCCCGACTCGTCCGCGTCAACGCCCGCGACACGCAACCCCCCATCCGGCGCGGCCTCCGCGGGGTATCAGTCCCGCCGATAATCATCCCTCCCGAGGGGAGGGAAAGAGGAGACCGAGAGCCAGAGGCGCGCACGGCTCGTTCGCGCTGGGATTCCTCGAATTCCTGCGACGTTACCGTCTCGCACCGCCGGGAGATCACCTCGCCTCCTCCTCGCTTCTTCGACGTCCAATTACACGAATGGCGCTTAGTGCCCGCCGCGGGCGGTGTAACGTCTCTCTCTCTCTCTCTCCTTTTCCCTCTTTTCTGCCATCACGATCATCGCTACACTTTTCATTGACGTTACCGTACCTGGTCACGATATACCTGGAGGTAGAAATGAATCTCCCGGTACAAAGCGGCGACGTTGGCTGTCTGCCGTCCTCCTCCTGCTCCTCCTTCGTGTCGTACCGTTTGCCAAGGATGTGGCTCCTATTTTCGCGACTACGCCTTTCTACCGTCGTCTCCTCTTCTCTCGCGGAATCAACGTTTCCTTTATATCCGGACAGTTTCGCATTGTCCCCCGACAACGGATCGTTGATCCGCCTGGCGAAGTGAAGCGGGGCCCCGATATGTTACGAACGATTTATCGCGAAACAATCTTCTTCGGCGCTGGCCTTCCACCGCCGGTGGACCGGTCAATCCACGTTACGGTGCTTCGATTCCCACAACGAGCTCTAGGCGGGAGAGATTAGGGATAGAATGCCTAAATAAATGTTTAAATTACACTGTGCATGAAAAATGAAAGAACACTCGCTGGAATAACCGATGGAGAGAACGAAAGAAAGAGATAAACAAGGGACGGGGGAAAAAAAGGGGGGGAAGAAGGATCGTTCGGAACACGCAAGTTGGAGATGATTACCCATCTCCTGAACCCATACTCGGCTCTTCTAGGCCTTAGGCGAAAGAAAAAGGGCGAGGTCTCTCCTCCTCTCCACCTTCTTCCGCTTCTTCCACCGTTTCTCTCCACGGCGGTCCCACCGCCGCGTACTCTTAAACGTCCGCCACTTTCATTACGCCGCGTATTTCGCGTTTCCTTTCGTTTATCGACTCCGTCCGGTCTAATCTCTATCGGTCGCTTTCCCTCGCCTGCGCCGAAGGGATGGAGGGGAAAAAAAAGGTGCGTTCGCGCGTCCGGATTAATGTATTCCCTTCCCGTGGCGTCTCGTATCGCGCCGAGGTGCGTAAATCACGAGGAACGAAATGGGAAGATAATGACGCGCGTGTAAAAATCCAACGCGATGAAAAAACGCATCCACCCGGGGGAGATCCCGTTCGTTTCCCTCGGCGCGAAACAAACGAACGAACGAACGTCACGGTTCGCGACTGCAGTGGGAAACTCATCCTCCTGATTTCGATCTCGCCGGGGTGATTTAACCGGCGTGCGCAACAAGTACCTCTCTCTTTCCCTCTCGCAGTTGTGTAAAATCGAGGAATTAATAATTTAACATTTTATCACATGCTTGACCTCGGCATTGGTGTTGTGAGTACACGTACGTTTTACAGAGCTCGAACCTGGGCCAGGAACTGTTGGACAGAGTGTTCAAGCACCTTAACTTGCTGGAAACTTCCTATTTCGGGCTGCGCTATCTTGATCACGGGAATCAGACGGTAGGACACAATCCGCTTAATCTACAACCTCGTAGCAAATTACTTTCGACTCCAGTAACGTAATTTAATTAAAATCCGAGAGCTCGAGTCTATCTCGTTTGTCTTAAGCCTTGTGTTGTCGCGATGCTAGAAATCGGTCCGAGATCTCGACCCGAGAAATATCCCAGATAGCAATGATGTCTTAAAGTTGTCTTTTAGACACGCGTGCTATCTGGGATGTAGCCAATCAACTTGCAGCTTTGCCATAAAAACTGCAAGTTGATTGGCTACGCATTTCTCGGATCGGGATCCCGGGCCGATTTCTCGTGCATCGTGGACACAAGGCTTTAGGACGGTGTAACACACGCTTCCGCCGATAAGGTAATTCATTTCGGCGGGAGCCTCCCGTGTGTCGCATATCGCCTGAAAATGTGCGAATTTAATTTTCCATTTAAAATTATTGACAACAATGCACCTCCTTTTGATAATTTTTTAATACAATTGAAATGTTAAAAGCACCTTTCCGCTGAAAATCGTAATCACGAGTGCAACACGTGTACGCATTTCAGCAATGGCTCGATCAAAGCAAAAAGCTCGGCAAGCAGCTGAAGATACATAAGGGGGATCCCGGATCGGACGTTCACACTCTCTACTTCGGTGTCAAATTCTACGCGGCCGATCCGTGCAAACTCATCGAGGAAATTACCAGGTACATTCCTCCGATCCTCGATCGTTCAAGGAGACACGCGCGCGCCTCTGCCTGAATAATTCTTTTAAAAATCCCACCCGAAGGTATACGCTCTATCGATCTCGCCTCGTGTTTGTACAATTCACTCTCGGGGAGATTGACGGGCGAGTCGTCTTTTAAAATAAAGCTCCCGCTTATTCGCGACTACATCCTAGATAGATTCTCGTTCTTTCCTTCTTCGAATAACAACGCGGGTGCATCCTCGAGTCTCTTTCGCGAGGGAAATAATGCAAGATATCGCCCGCGGCGAGTCCGTTCCAGCGCGCACGATATGCGAATAATACGGACGATTTTTATTCGATGTCACGCTCCCGTGCAAACGATCCCTTCACGCTCGGCGTCTCGGAAATTCCAGGAAATTCCAGGGACACCGCGGTACATCGCGCGCGCGCGGACGCACGAGAATTCCACGTGCGTCGAATTTCTTGAGGCGGCTCCTTACGTGCGCTCGTATACACGCGTGGCTCGCGTCAACGCGCTCCGCGGCGCGCGCGTTAAGCTAATAGCGAATTCGATTGGTTGCACTAGTGCGCGCTGAGCGCATATTAAGCCTTGTTTCATTTAAAAAAAAAATTGTTTTCTAGCTCCTACACTTTCGTCACTATTCGCCCCGAAAGAGAAAATTAAATTTTCTTCAAAGGGGTACTTTACCACCTAACAAAAGTGCGTATGGGCACGTATAAAAAAAATAAGTGTCCCTTATCTTGAGCTGAAAAGCAACGTATTCAACACTCATCAAGATCGGTGTATTGGGTAGGTTTGGACTTGTTAGCGGGTACTCGGTGTGTACTAGTGCAAGCAGTCGAATTCGCTGTTAATTCCGCGCATTCTCTAAGAATCACACCTTCCGCCTCGACGCGTTCCGCCGCGCGCTGTCCTCCTTGTACTTCGAGATTACGCGGCAAAGTGACTGGAAAATCGGTTTCTGCTTGTGTTCCGCAGGTACCAATTCTTCCTGCAAATAAAGCAAGACATTCTGCAAGGAAGACTGCCAGTATCCTTCGACCTGGCCGCGGAATTGGGAGCCTACGTCGTTCAATGTAAGACACGGTCTCTTTTCCTTGCGGCACCAAAGTACCACGACAGATACACGTCTCTTATTATTTCTTATGCACACTCGAACGCCACTCGTCTCTCTCGCGAGGGGGGGAAAAAACGGATAAAGCATTAAAATCACGCGGAAGAGATGGCGTTCGCGAGGAAAACGCAGGCAGCACGGAGATTTGCATGTGTATAGCAAGACGCGGCTAAACGCGAGCAAACAGAACGCACGCCGGTGGTCCACTCGTTATAGTTATCTGTTGGAGAGATTCAAAGTCGTGCAGATGGAGAAAAAGGGAAGGCAAACTAAAATACGCCCGTGTTTGCATCTCATCGCCGTCAAAAGAGACGAAATGAATATCCCTTCTTTTTCCATTCAACGATAATGCTGCACGTATACGTACCGGCGGAAAAGAGCATAGCGCGCGAAGGGGAGAGACACGTACACGGAAAATGGAGTGGATCGAGAAAAAGAAACGTGCGTAGCTTCTCTTTTCTTCTCGCGATGTTACATCGCGGTCGTTGTAGCACAATGGAATTGCGTTCTCGTGAATATTTTTCCCGGCACGTTGTTTTCGCGCGAGCGATATCTCTTCCGCGACGACCGACCCCTTCGAGCTTATTGACGATCTTGTGCGCACGTGAACGTAATCCGAATCGACGCGCATGTCTCTCCCCGTCGCGCGTATAAATGAATTGCTCCTTCGTCTACGTATCCGGGAATAATGTTGCTACCCTTTCAGCGGAACTCGGGGACTATGATCCTAGACGACACTCGCCCGGATACGTCACCGAATTTCGGTTTCTCGCCAACCAGACCACGGAGCTGGAGAACCGTATAGTGGAGATCCACAAAACTCTTATGTATGTCAGCCGTGATGTTTTAGTATTCGAGTGGCGTGCGTTAGAAGTATCCGACGGCGTCCGCGATGTAGCGTTTCTACATCGTAGAACGGCCGACCGGTTATCCATAAGCCCGTAACTCTTCGTATTTATCAAGCGCTGGCGTTCTGATAAAACAATGTCAGGAGATCGAATCTAAACTTCCAAAAGCGCTACGTAGTTTTGTTTTACTTTAGCAGAACTTAAGTGTCCATTCTGTAAACGAATCAGATATAATATACTATACACTGTAAACAGTTACGTGTAAAAGTACAATTATTATAGTGGGTAATATTGGGACCATCTATTAAAGGTGTATATTTACATATGTTAGTAAACCTTGTAAATTTATTACCTTATATAATAAGTAAACTGCTTGCTTTTAATCGTGTAAATTTTACAATTTTTTGTAATTTTTCATCATGTATAAACAAGTATTACACAACAAAGAGCAAAACATTTTTTTTTATAAAAGTACATAAATTTATATATTTTCGTTATCAATAGTGCAATCGCTACACTTATTATGTATGTTATTTTACACGCTTTTTTTACAATGTAGAAAAGCTGCGCGAAGCGCGTAATGACGGCGTTGACGTTTACAGAATAGGCCCGTAAGGAATGTTTCATTAAAATAATCGCAAAAAAACAACAAAATTAATCAGTCCAAGTAGCATAAATAACTGATTTAATTTTTGAACGAGCGCGTGACTTGCGAATTTTTTTTCCAGAGGACAATTGCCTTCGGCAGCGGAATTAAATTATCTGGACAAAGTGAAGTGGCTGGAAATGTACGGGGTAGATTTGCATCCCGTGTTGGTACGTAGGCGTACTACTGACGTTGACATGACGTCGCGATTATGTTCGCGTTAATCTCGCAAAATCGTATATAATTTTCGTGCGCAGGGCGAGGATAGCGTGGAATATTTTCTGGGCCTAACACCGAGCGGAATAATATTACTGCGCAACAAGACCAAAGTGGGAAATTATTACTGGCCTCGGATAAATAAAATCTACTATAAGGTATAATTTCTGCAATGTTGTTAACTCGCTGGACCTGTTGTCTCACTTTCTCTCTCTTTACATTCTTATCACCACTACCATTCATATGCACTGTTCACTCGCAGTTTAATTTTTCTTTAATAACTCCCTACGCTTTAGGGAACTTGTCCCAGCAAGTGTAATAAATAATGATTCTTATTCTGATCCTCTCTCTCTCACTCACTCACGCTCGGTTCTCTAATAAATTCGAGAGCTGGTTTATAATAAAACAATGAAAAGCTTAAAAACATGGCACACAGTATTGCTAAACGTTGATTTTTCCTGAGCGTTTGCTACTTACTTCACGATACGCCTCGATTTTCAGGGCAGGTACTTCATGCTTAGGGTGAGTGAGAAGAATTCGGAAGAGAGGACGCACGGTTTCGAGACGCCGTCGAAGGGAGCTTGCCGTCACCTTTGGAAATGTTGCTTGGAGCATCAGGCTTTTTTCCGACTAATGGCAACCGGCCCGCCGCCACTTAGTCCGTACTCTCGCTTTCATTCGTACAGTCCTCCGTCCACTTTGGAGAAGCACGCGGCCATTAGACGAAATCCACCGCCATTTCAAAGGACGCCGAGTCGAAGGGCGCAGAGACGAGTCGTGGAGGGTCAAGAGATGGTCGGCTCGTTCATCGAAACGCCCGTCACCGTGATCTCGAGCCCGGGCAACAATAATCCGTCCAGCGGCAACATACTGTGCAATACGCAAAGGCAGATGAACACCTCGAGTCCGAGAAGCACGAGAAGCGCGCCCTGGACGCAGAGTCAGCCCCGCGGTCTTTACACCTCGTCTAGTCCTCGCTCCGTTCGCTCCGCGGGAACAGCGCCGGCGGTTAGTTAACATAATCTACTCGCTCGCGCTACAACGGCCATGCTTGGGCGCGTTCAGAGACACCACCCGAGTGCTCCAGTGTATCGTTCTATCCTTGTTTAACATACGGTGAGCAACAAGGATAGAATGATGCGCTCGGGTACTCGGGTGCGTGACGTCTATTCAAACGAGATGCGTCACGTATACGCACGCGGCATAACAGACAAAAGAATGAACTCTGTTGACGGGTCAAGTATATTCGTACTATCGTTAAAATGTTTCCAAATGTATCTATTCAACGCCGTCTGTCGACGTAGCTTTTGAGTAGACTTCAACGTCGGAGCAGCTCGGTGGAGAGTCAAAGCTCGGGGGATAGTCATAGTCGCAGCGGTCACCGTAGGCGGAGTCACAGTCATAGTCACCGCCGACACAGCAGACATTCCGACTGCGAGTCCGAGCTCTCGAGGGGTTCGGACACGAGATCCGGCCATCGGAAACATCGCAGAAAACATAGGAACTCCCGTTCTTCTAGGTACGTTTGCCTTATTAGCCGTAGTTACGTTCGCTCTCATCGCGATAGCATCTCGTTCTCATGATTGTTTCGTAGGTAAAGTGCCTCCTTGATAAATGCAAATCGCGAACCCTTATGAGCATTGTGTAATTAAATGAACACGCAATTAAAGCGGTTTGACGATAATAGGTCTTGTTCCCATCAACGGGGTTCATTGACCTTTGTTAACATAATTATTTTTGCATATTTCTCTCTCTAATGAAAAGATCCTTTCTACGGGGATTTCTTTTCTTTATAGAATAGACCGACTAGTGCGAATTTATTCTAATAGTTTAATTTTTCGTAGTAGACACGAGTTGGTAGACTCGGAACCGCAATGGAGAGAGGCGCAGAAACGGAAAGGGGAAGGCGTGCAAAAAGCGATCGTAAGTATCGTTACCGGGTCGCTACCGACGCTGCTTTGTTTGTAATATTTGACCAGCCAATATGCCGTAGGTAAGTCACACGGAGCCGAGAAGGAGGCACAGAAGCAGGCATCGCAGTCCCTCTCAGAAGCAGCCACTACCGGATGAACTTCGAAAGTACATATATCATATATTTCAAGCACTGCAACTATTACAGGGCTACCACAGGCCACGAAGAACAATTTATCGATTTCTTTCTCTATCGCAACTCGAATTTGCTAAGCGAACTTTGCCTTTGTTAATCTATGCTTTCGTGAATGTACAGACAGCTTGTCGACGTGTCTTGCGAGTGCTGTTAAAGGTGTTTGATGTCTTTCAGACATTTGGAATTTGGCCTAGTCGACACCAGTGGGATGAGCGAGCAGCAACGCCGAGAGATATCCTACACGGTAGTACAGTCGCAATCTGTACAGCAACCTTCCTTACAGTCTAACAATTCCCGATTGGACGACACAGACTCATCGTCCCTGCCTAGGTACGATGATCTCAAGACGGCCTGCAATCTCCACAGCCATCCTCCGCAATTGGAGGATGAGACGGGATCCGTAGTCATTGTTTAGTTACCCCCTCACTCTCCCTACCGCCACCCCCCGCCCCGATCTCCCTTGCATGTATTTTTTTTTATATTTATTTCGAGCATGTATATTATCTACTTTAAGCATGCGCCCCTATTATTTATTTGAAGCATGACGAATCCTTAATAAATAAGTGAGATTAACTTGCTTGTCGCACCTGTTTATTTTTACGTCCTAGCTGTGGCACTCACTCGCTTCTGGCTGTGTTCCATGGAATTTCAAAGGCGATGCGTGCCGATCGCCTTCGTACTGGGGTCGTACTTTTTATTCGTGTGTTTTTTATTTCTCATGCATTATGTGTATATTATACGGTATGCGCCATGTATTTGTGTAATAAATATTGGTATCTGGGAGGATGATGTCAACGTTCGGGGCTCGGGACACCTCATGCTCCGAGTCCTTCTTATGACATTCCTCGTATATCCCATTCGATTCCCCACACGTAGCCGGCGCATCTTGTGCATTTTATGTTTTGCTCACTTTGTATTTCCAAAGAATTAAGTACGCTTCAAAATGCGCCGCGATACAGTTTAAAACAAACAAACGAATGCATTAACGGAGTCTGTGATGGATTTTGTGTTATTGACTCTTGATAATCGTATGCATCGTGAGAATATATAGCCAGTGTGTGTGTATGTGTATGTATATTAACTGTATGTACTAAAACACAAAAGAAAGAGAGACACGCACCGATCCGAATTGAGCACGGTGGACCCGCCGGTCGCTAAAACGACTGAGGTTGCCAGACTGTCAAGGATTCCCTTTCAGAACTGTCGGGTTGTCCGCTGGCAAAAGGGAAAGAAGACCCATGCGGCATTATCGTGACGGAAGTTATAACTTGCTGTCGGCAACATCCAGTCGAGTCGAGGCAAAGTCTCCCGAGGCTCGAAACGAATATAGCACGAGGAGGGATTTTTATTATGCTCGTAGCAACCGAGTGTCAATAGGCAATAATGCGGACAGTGGACTCGGGGAAAGCACGCCGCAGGACTTTTCAAGCTGCTGCTCAAGTTCTGCCGACAGCAATAAGCCTATTCACGTAGTACGTATCCCAGTTTGCTCGCACTCTTTTACTGTATCATTGCTGATTGCCCGTTTTGAAGTAAGCAACAACCGAGCGACGCGCGTCTTACCTTGCAACTAGCTCTATTTACGAATGACAAAAGTCAACGAAACTCGCGCTTGCCTCTCGCAAATCAAAATTCCATTTTCACAAGACACCCATCGCACATACGGTTTTTACAAGAGTAAGTTCTGTACATGGATAAAAGCGGCTGAGGTTTTCTACGTGGTTGCCTACGAGTTTCGGTCCTCAACCGCGCGAATAAATTTCCAAGATACTAGAGACGCGCGCCACCCTTTCCCAGCGACACGGTTCACGTGTATGCATGCCGATACTGTTGCTCTAAATTCTAAATGGTAGATTAGTAAAACGGTTTTGTTTGGTATAGACGCAATTGCAATTAGGGGGCGAGGTACACTATGAATTGCCTTCAAATCAGGAAATCTACCCTCCTGTTGACACTACTCTGGACGCTGTTCTCCAACCCATTATATCGTAAGTGCTTGTTTTTGTCGCTTTGTGCCTCCTTACTCAAGTATTGAATCAGTTCTCGTGTTGACTTGTATATCCAGCTTTATTAATATCTAATATATTACGCATCACATACTTCGGATAGATATCAAAAGAGCGAATATGTTACAAAAGTTCTCTCTACATTATTTCCACAGTAGCGTCGCTTGAATGTTATTCACGCCATGTGTTTGATTGTTTCAGAACTTTAACGAGGAGGCAACGGGGCCGCCCGAAATAATCGCAAAACTTTAATACAAAATAAACGCCTTATTTTATATGCGCTTACGTGTAAGATAGCGTTCGTATTCTGAATTAAAATTGATAATCTGTGGATCGCAGTCGTTGGACCGTGCGAGGCGAGAAGAGAGATCTTGTTGAATAAAAGTAGTATGCACTTTAGTCCCCCACGACGAACGTATTTCTACAGACAAAGTCTCACCTAACTGTCTTTCGACGCCATGTGCCTCATGAGATTGCCTATGAACTTCTCCATCTTCTTCAAGTCCTGCGCTATCTCCGTCTTGTACTGCAGGCACTGCAAGCAATTTCAATTACTACCGCAACGCTCTTAACGACAAATACAATACGAGCGGCTCGTACTCCTCAATCGCGAGATATGCGTTTCCGAGGTTCCTCACCCGCCGATTATCCGTTATCTTTAGACACAAGATCCCTTTACTGTGGCAATACTTCATCGTATACCGAGTCTGAAATGAAACGGAAGGCGACGTCAGTGGTTGCTCGCTCGACATTTTCTATTTGTATGTAATTTAACTTGCAGTTTCATACGCCATACGGTACCGCAGTGCTCGCATTGCTGTCGCCGTAACAGCGGGCGGCAGGAGAGAGTCGAAAGTAATCGACGAAAGGAACACGAATCTCGCGTCGTATCGAACGTCACAAATTCAATTGAGACAACCCGTAGTCCGCAACGCGCGGAGCAAGAGAGGACCTTCGGCCTTTGGCGCAAGGAAGCTAATGTGCGGGCGTAACTTTTGAAATATTTCAACGCCGGCCGCGGGCGTTACGATTCGCCGAGAGAGTAGGCGTAAGAGCTCGAGTACGAAATAAAAATCGATCCCTTTCCTTACGCCTATCCTTTACCCCAGGCTTGCTCCACGCGTTGCAGACGACACGCAACCACTCGAGAGAAAGTATCTCGTATCTCTATTATTGTTCCTTAGTTCTTCCGCAAATGCGAACGACAAATCGCCACAAACTCGACGGGTATTGCGCAAGTGGTGCAAATAGCAAACGTCAACACGGGGACGAAGACCATCGTCAAAATACGAGCACGCCCGTCCGGCGCGCGCGCGCGCTGCTCCCGAGCATCTCCTCGCTCTTCTCGCGGAAAGAACCTGATCGAAGATTCCCCTTTGCCGCCGGGCGTCGAAAGTCGCGAACGGCGCGTCAAGTTTGATGCGGCGAACGCGGTGGTAATCTCGTGAAACCTACGTTCATCGGATCCTGCAGGTATAACCTCTCGGCGGCCCTCTCGAATTCCTCCCACGAGCTGAGGTACGTCATCGTTGGCCTCGCGAGGGAGAAGGCGCGCGAGGCGAATCAAGTTCACGTTCTAACGATCTCCCCGAAGCTCCTCGCGGAGACGAAAACACTCGCGAGATCTCGTCACCGAAGTTGTCACGTGTACGTCGGAAGTAACGCGTGTACTGTACCGACGTGTGTTTCGGACATAGACAATATAAGTCAATGGTTTCGGAACGCAGCGGTGTCGCGCGAGAGAGCGCTGTGAGCGGCGCGCGAGTCGACCAATCGCCGTCGGGTGCGCGCGCCGCGCCGTGTTTCGAAATTCACGGCCGCGACTGGTCAGTTCGATCGCCCGTGATCGCCCGCTCGCGATTCGCCGAATCAAACGGCGCGCCTTCGCTCGAAGGGCGAGTTTGGCGATCGAGGATCGTCCCGATGTCAGGTGATTTGTGTGTCCTTTGGTTTAACATTTTTTATGTCTCTCTCTCTCTCTAATTGTTCTCAGGAAGAAATAATGGATGTTAATAAAAGGATGAAAAGTTACCCGGCGGTTGGAACAATCAACCCTAGGGCCCGGTGTCCTCATTTTCTGGCAAACTGTCAGAGGTTAGTCGACACTATATTTTTCTAAGTTATTATCGAAGAAGGGACAGGCAGGGCCGATTTCACAAACGTTAACCGAGTTCGTTAACCTGAGTTCAGTCAAGTCCCCCATCCTTTTCCATCTTGTTGTCCAAGAGGAGACAGAGAATCAATTAATCTTCGGTTAGCCGTTAGCCGACGTCTGTGAAACCGGTCCGTGGTCGGCTAACCTCTGGTTAACATTTAACCAGAGGATGGAAAAAACCGGGCCCCCGATTCGACCAGCGGAGGAGTCGTTGACGATTTCCAAGTCCGCGAAATCTCCAGCGGTTATTCGCCCCTTCTAAAGGTACGCTCTTCCTTTCTACGTGTTACGAAACGACGAAAAGTGAAATCTATTCGCGTTAAGAAATTAATATAGGCGCTACTTCGCGAGACAATTGTCGCGACTTGACGGAGCTACGAATCGCGCAGGCGTGGAGGCAGCTCGTCGAGGGTATCTGCGAGGAGTTTTCTAAGGCGCCGCGACTGAGTTCTGGAGACGTCGCGAAAATTGGACGTGGAAGGCCTCGGGAAATCGTCCAAGTTCATCGGGAGAGTGCGTACATTCCGATAAGGAAAAGTGAAAGCTCCGACGGGCGCCTCACGACGATTCTCGAAGAATTGTCAAAACGATCATTACGAGTGTACACGTTTCGGCGACAGGTAAAGCGAGAGTTGCGATTCGAGAAGGGGTCGAGATTATTAGGACATTTGTGTATCTCGACAAGGTCGCTCGTCGGGCCGCAGTTACGAAAATTTATATTCCGATCTACTACATCCGATCTTAAATCACACATATATATATACACTTTATATATATATATATATACAAGTAATGAGTTACTTCCCAACTAATATATATGATCTTAACTTGGTTACTTTCTCTTCATCTGTAAAGACCTGTGTCCACTATGCTAGGACTTTGTCCAAGTTCTAGTTTCGAGAAATGTGTAGCCAATCAACCAGCAGCTGTTCCATAAAAGCTGCAAGGTGATTGGCTACGCATTTCTCGGAACTAGAACTTGGACACAGCTCTTGGATCGTGGACACAGGGCTTGACTGTAACTTAACTCAGGGTTGGGTTGTAAATTTTGTGTGTTGCAATACACAAAGATTTTCAATAATTGAAACGCTATTGCAACGGCATATTCCTGAGACTAAATCAAGTAAAAAAAGTACTGCTTTTCCCTCCGACAAACAGTTATCAAGATATCGTAAGCTAAACATTGAAAAAAAGTTATAAATTTTCTCTCGAATATCCCCAAAAGTATTGGGCAAATCAAAGAAATGTTTCAGACAAAAGTTCATATTAGTAGAATAGGATAGTATAATAAATAATAGGGGGTTCCATTGTTTGAAACGTTTTTCCGCATCTTTTATATTTTTGCAGATATTTGCGTGGATCATTTAAAATGCGACACCCTGTACATCAATCCACGTTAAGCCAAAAGTATGAAAATTTAAATTCTGCTCAATCATCTTCAGTCACGAATGTCGTATTATATTCAGAGACGTACCACTTTATTTTATATATATTTCCAGTCAGCAAAATGTTAGCAGATTCGTCAGGAACCCACGCCAAAACCATTGTCATCTGTGCCCGCACTTGGCCTTTGTTTCGGCGGAAATCAAGCGGGTCCATTTGCATGAGCAGATTTTGTCTCCAAGTATTTCTGCTGATACGCTGGCAACATATCGAAAATATACGAGTTCTTGTATGCGATCTGCAGTCTCTGCCTTCAAAATTCGCAGTTGACATTCGACGAAATCAGTTCTGACCGATTTGGCGGTCTGGGTTTGTAGTTTCGCGTGTAACATTTTTATTTATTAACAACAAGTATTCCCGGCAGTGCGAAATCTCCCATTGAGCTTCTCACCGCGCTGGAGGAGCACGCGAGACCAGGAACAAGTGCGCGAGAGGCGACAAAAGAAAAGAAAAGCAGAATGAACGGAATGGCGTGAGCAGCGGCGGTGAGCGAGGGAGGAGGAGGAGGAGGAGGAGGGACGAACGATCCGGGTACAAGTGGTACAACCCCCACGGGACGAAGGAAGGCGATCTCGGTGGCGGGTGACGACGGTGTCGTGCCGCTGATCGCCGGTGGAGTCTTTCAGTTTCTTTTGGACCGCCGCGAGCGCGCGGAGGCAGCGGACGCGGTCGACGTGATGCGCGTGTGAAAGTTCGCCGTTTGTGCACATCCTCCACGGCGCGGATACGGAGATGAGCGGCAGAAGGATGTGAGAGCGGGGGAGAGGGGAGGACGGAAAGAGGTAGACGTGTATAATTACGCGATGCGCGGCGAACGTGGAGAAAAGAAAAAGGGAAGAAAAGTAACCGACGTACGACGATCTGTTTACTGGACGCACGGATCCTCCTTCCCTCCTTGCGCGTATCTCGCGCGAGCGCCGCGCGCGCGCGCGCGCAACGGCAATTTAAAGGGAGAAAACGCGCCTTCCGTCTAACGATCACGCGACTTTGTTACTCGCGAGCGATCTCTCCTCTCCGCACGCTATTGTCGCACCGCGAGCGTTACTTAACCCGCGATGGCATAAGTCATCGTCACTTTCTTTCCTCGTGCGCACCAAGGCACCGTCGGATCCCGCGCGGGTATACACGTTGGCGTGTCGCAATCGGCACGTCGCTCCCTCGTTCTCCAAGTAACAGCGATCCGGATCTGTATCGCGCCCTACCGAACCACCGCTTGAAAACGAAAGTGCCGGCTCGAGTCGTCGGCACTTCGCTTCACGGCGGATTACATGGGGTATTTGAATCGCGCCGCGACTCTTTCCAGCGAGAAATGACTCGTCGACCGATGTCGAAACGACGGCGAATTGGACGGTGTCGATGGTCGACTCGACATTGCCGCGACGAGTCCTTTCTCACTGGGTTTCCTACCGCTCGATCGCGGTCGCGCGAACCCGCAGCTTCCGCAAGATCGCCGGGGTCGATCGCGATCGACCTGAGAGATGCCACCGCTTACGGGTCGCCGTATATACCGTAAACGGATGATGCGGCGATTCCGCCGGCGGATCCGCGCGGAGAAACTTTCGACGACCGCGAAAGCGGTCGTAAGGATTTCTCGGGGGGCCGGAGGCTCTCCCGGTCGAGACCGAGACCGAGGCGAGGCGGTGGCGTGGCCGGCGACGATCCTTTTTCCCGTCGACGGCCCTGAATGAGTGCGAGTGAAAGTCCGCGAGTCAAATATTTTTTCGCGGTTCGTTCCGCGGCCCCGCTCGGCGGTTGGTGCGTGAGTATCTGCCCTCCGCGCGCGCGTATATGTAACACCGCGCCGTGGAAAGGCCTCTCGTGGCTCTGCCGCAGAGGAGAAAATATGCTAAGGTCCCCTCGCGCGCTCTGTTTCTGCCGCGTCGACGACGCTCGTCAACGCGGCCGCGACATCGCGAAGATCGCACTCTCTGGCCCGTATCCTGAATCCCCTTTTTATCGATAGAAGAGGATTCGGAATATGGGGCGTTGTTTCTTCGCGTACTCGATGTTATCTCTTCCCGTACTTGCTGCCGCGACTGCAGGAGGCACTCGTGACTCGAGTTTGGTAGCGTCCCTGTTATCAGAGTCTGGTTAAAGCCAAGAGCTGTGGCCTAGCTCGAAGAAATGTGTAGCCAATCAACTTGCAGCTTTTCCGTGTTGCCAGAAGTGGAAGGACCGATCGAAAGTTGACCAGACTCTGATTAAACGGACTCTAGAGTTCGGAAGGGGCCTCGCTGCGCTTATCGCTCCCCAGGCAGCACGTGGTGGTTCGTATACGTTTTAGACTGCGTTTGGAAATATCACCCGATCGTGTTCCAGCGTATCATTTTATCCTTGTTGCTCACTGGGTGTTAAACAAGGATAAAATGATATATTCGGGCACTCGAATGATGTTTCCGAGCGCAACCCTGCGTTCGCTTCTTAAATGTGTCTAATACTTCATAAACGTCGAGGAAACGAACAAAAAGACCACCATGTTCTACTTGGACCTACTCTCTCTCAAAATCAATCAAGTGGAGCATCGTTGAAAAACAGCAAATAGTCACTGATCACAGTTATTACAAATCGTAGACATATTAACCGTAGACTACTTATGCGGCAGTGGTGCCGTAAGTGGGGGCATCCGAGCTCCTGAGGGAAAAGGATAGTATCCAGATAGCACAGTAAATTCGCAAAGTATCCTTCAGTTGCTACTGTGTCTATTGTATTAGGTGCGACAGCAAACCGTTTGCTGTGCTTTATAAATTTATAGTTATACCAGTAAAATATTTTTAGCTGATCACAGGATTAGCTACGGTGGCGAAAATTTTTTTCCACTGTACGGTTCGATTACGAATCTTGCAACTTTTCTGCCTTTCTGAACTGTAATTCTTCAGGAATTCATAGAAGAATGCAATAAGAACGATTGGGGAAGAGTTACATGTACCATGAACTTTCGACGAATACTTTAAGACGAACTGATTCCCGCCGATTCTTCAAGAACTCTTCAAGCTCGTATCAGACTACGGATTGAGATTAAGATTAGATTGAAATTTGACCAATTAAAGTAAAGTTTACTAGTACCAAGTTTAATGAATTTTATTATTATATTACTGGTCAAACCTCACTCTAATCTCAATCTCAATTCGTAGTCTGACAGGCGCTTCAGACATTCAGTTTTCCAATTCCGCAGGTATTCTTTAAAATGAATTCTTTATGAACTTGCGTTCACCTTTGTGCTGTCTGGGTATGCAATTATTTGGGTGTCTATCTTTCTCTAGTGGGCATGAGTCACGAGAATCAGAGAAAGATAGGCCACCCAAATAAATTTATACTATCCTTTTTGCCTCGGGCGGATGCCAACAGTCTCGTAAATAGTCTATAGAAAATATATCTACGTTACAAGTATAGAGGAAAGTCTTCTATTATGAGATAGCAGGTTTTTAACACCCAAATTCAATTACAAATATTTTTTTGCAACGATTACACGATCTAACAATGAATTTTCCACCAAACAGATTTCGCTCCGAGGGCAATAAATTCATGGTGGAATCAACTGATGATGCCTATTAATTTAACGGAAACCCCACTATCCCACATTAGGATCCTATCTCATAACAGGGGACTTTCCTCTTACCGCTACGAGATCGCAGTGATGTACTTACAACTGCGGTCAGTTACAATCCCCTGATTGGCTTTAAGAGAGTAGACGTGCGAAAACGTATTCTCGTAAACCGGCTTGAACGTACCGACAACGTTCACGCGTAGACAATTAATAATCGCCGTCCTCGCCTTCTCCGCTTTTCGCTCGGCGCGACTTACGACACTTACATAAAAGATTATGTAAAAGATTATACGCGACCCGTTACGCGACGCGTATACTCGCAGAAAGTAATTTTAATTTAGAAGCAAGAAACGGTATCGAATCGCCGGGCCGTCGGTCCGAGTCGACGAACTTGTGGGAGGAATTTGTGAAAGTAATCGCGCGTTCGCGCGGAGATAATTCGAATCTGTCCGCCGGCAATTGCCAGCGGTCGATTTACGCGGGGAGGGTTCCCCTTGCCACGCGAGGCTTTTATTAACGTTTACGCGCGATGTTTCAGGGTGCACGCTGTTAACGCGTAAACATTGGCGAACGCGCCCCGCTGACGTGAAAGTGGCCGGTGGCTGCCGGTCGTCTGGCCGCCGACGATGGAATGCACGACGACCGGGTGCCCCAGCGTGCACGTTGATCCGCGTATCCTGGGTAATTATACACATATGGACACACACACACACACACTCTCTCTCTCTCTTTCTCTTTCTCGGGGGTAGCTAGAAAGAAAAAGACCGATCAAAAGTTGCAGGCTCTGTTGACCAGCGGCTCGATCACGAACCTTTTCCTCTAGCGCGAACTCGTGAAAGGTGAAAAATTTTTATTGAATTCGTCAACGAGATTTGTCACTTGTCACGACTTCACGCTGGAGGAAGAGATGCGTGATCGAACCCACGCTGAAAAAAAAATTTTTTTTGCCACCGTAGCTACCCAGATAGCACAGTGAATTCGCGAAGTATTCCTCAAGTTTTCCGCCTTTTCGATTTGTAATTCTGCAGAAGTTCATAGAAGAGTACAATAGGAATGATTGGGGAAGTTACATGCATCATAATGAACTTGTGACGAATACTTCAAGACGAACTTATTGCGGCCGATTCTTCAAGAGTTCTTCAGATGTTCAGTTTTCATAATTCCGCAGGTATTCTTCCAAATGAATTCTCTATGAGCTTACGTTCACCTTTGTGCTACGTGAGTAATCATGGTTTGTTAAAACTATTTCGTTGCCATAATTAAAAAATTTTTAAGCACAGAATATTTCGCTATCACAGCCGAATATTAGCTGTTCATATTTTACAACCGAAATTAATTAGTTACCACATCAGTTTTTACCCAGATAGCCAATCTGTCAGAACGGATTTCGTCACACGCCCACTACAAATTTTGAAGGCACAGAAAGACTGCAGATTACACGCAGGAACTGATGTATTCGATATGTTGCCAGCATTTCGGCAGAAATGCAACAAAGTCTGCTCACATAACTGGACCCGCTCGGTTTCTGCCGATAATCTGCCGATTGTCTACTGTGCGTATGTTTTACAGACTCTGTTGCCAAAAGATAAAGCTAAATGCGGACACAGATGGCTGTGGTTTTGGTGTGGGTTTCTGATGAATCTGCTGCCCATCTAATGTCAATCTGCTAACATTTTGCTGACTGTGTAGCTACGGCAATTACATTTTCTTTCCCGCGCAGACTCTGGTTAGACAGACTCCAGAGTTTGGAAGAGGCCTCGCTGCGCTCTTATCGTTTGGCTGCGAAATAACGGACGTTGATCCGCGAACGACCAAGCGATTCACCGACGACGGAGTCGAGGGTGTCGCGGCTGAGACGAGAAAAGAGAAAAAATGAAGCGGAGTGCCGGGCGGGTAGCTGGGTGTCGTGTAACGCGGCGGGCGACGCGCGCGAATGGAATTTAACGCCAAGGAGCACAAAGGGCGCTTTCCAATACTCAAGCTGACCTAATTCGAAAGCGGGCTATTCTCGCACATCCGCTTTCTCTTCTCCTCGTACGTCACGTTGACGAAATTTGACACGCGCCGCGAGGCGAGGAGCCGCGCTCGCCTCGTGCCGCGGGTACCGATTACGTTCCTCCGCGCCGGCGAAGGAAAACGGATGACGCTCGCAATCGGGAACAACGTGAGCGCGAAGAAAGAGGACGACGATGACCTCCATTAGCGCTCGCTCGTTCGACACGTCCCGAATAACGTAATAGGCGCTTCGCGTCGGCCGATTTCTTACGTGAACACAACGTGAATGTGAAAGCGACCTTGAAACGTGGATCATCCGTCGCACGCGCGCGTTCGATAAGATCGTCTGGTGAAATACTGTATCTTTATATGCATGCGCGCATACACGCGTGAGGCAAGCCGGAGCGCGAATTCGTTTTCGATAAAGAGGCGGGAGAGACCGATGTATCGCTATGACCCGCAGGAGGCCACGAGACTTCGTCGACGACGAGAGGGCAGCTGATCGAGCATGCAGCGATGGCTACTGGCCTTGGACGAGCCTGCGTCCGATCCGTGCGGTAGCGTCCGAATGCCACCGAGTGCCGTCGGGGGATGCGTCCGAGTGCCGGCGTAGCGAGCAGGCGAGCGGCGGCCCCGCGCGATCCCGGAACCAGGAGTCGGATCGATCCCGAGGGCGCGGAGGCCGACAGGCGCGTTTACGCCGCCTCACCTACGATCGAGCCCGCGTACGAGATCGAATGGTAGGACTCCCGAGCCATTGCGGTCTCGGGCTCCTCAGGGTTCCCGAAAGACGAACAAAGCATTAGATCCAGTTTCATCAACGTCGTTTAACTTTAAGCTTAGCTTAATTCGTTCTTTGTATCTTTTCAACTGTTACTTTAGAAAGAGGCAAACATGAATTAAACTTGTAAGATTAAAGCTAAGCGACGTTTGTGAAACTGACCCTTCGGTCCGGTTAACTTTGATCTTAGTTTAATTCACGTTTGTCTCTTTCTAGAGTAACAGTTGGAAAGAGACAAAGAATGAATTAAGCTAAGCTTAAAGTTAAGCGACGTTGGTGAAACCTTTAGTCGTTATATTTGTGAACGATAATTATTTTCTTAAGTAGCTAGTAATTAAATAACAGACCGGTAACATTATTCGATCAGAACTGGCGATAATTTAATTAAGAAGAAGTTTATTGCGAAAGATATTACCTTCCTCAATATAAGGAAGGTTCGGGTTCAAACCCTGGCTAAAGTAATATTTTTCGCAATAATTTAAATGTCTTCCAATTAAATTATTACCGACTCTGGTCGAATAATATTAGGTACTTGTTATTTGTTATATTCGTGAGAGGTGTGTCGCATTTTCGCTAGTTTCTTCCAAGAGGAGATTGTAGAATTGAAATACGAGAGCAAGATGAAGAAATTCCTTCTCAGACGGAAGAGATACCTTCACAGCCGGACGATGGTTTTCTCGAGTCGTCAAAACTTACTCTCTAAAAGCCAATCGGTGGATTATCACTGAAAACAGCGATTAGTCACTAATTCACATTATTATATTCACAACTGTGAATCAGTGAGTATTCATTGTTTTCAGCGGTAATCCATTGATATTGACTTTTAGAGAGTACGTCTGAAAATTGTGTTTTATTCGCGAGACTACGCGAGAGAAGTGCGAACATACTTTTCGGCCTAATGTAGTAAAACTACTTATCGATATATTTCTTATTGCACGTTGACTGTTGTGTTCAACGGGGTATAATTTTCTAGGATAAGGTCGGACTTGGCGGACATTGAAATCTCGAAGTTCGTGAGCGGCATCGCGGGCGGCAAGTCGACGGCGTCGCGCAATAATCCACGAAGATGTTACAGAACGTCGACGAGCTCCGGCTACTCGAGCCACTCGCCACCGCTGTCAGCCGGCTCGTACTCCTATTACGCGTCAGCGTCGACGAAGGATCCGCCGTACGGCGGCCTGGCGGTGATTCACGAGAGCGAGGCGATACCGCGGCCTATCTGGCCCTCCATCGTCTATCGCCACGCCGAAGATCACGGTGGCGATTACGAAGGTAACGGCGAAGACGAGCGCTCGGAATGATTCCGTTCCGGCTCACCTTCATTAGCTGCGTTCGACACAAATCCGAGGACCCGGAGTGCTCTTCTTCCCTTTCTGTCTCATTCTTCTTTCCGCTGCCCCGATGAAAATTTTCCTTCAGAATTTTTATACGAATCGGTACCTTTTCAGAAATACTGAGAGAGTCCACTTCTTTTCTTGGAAGTTTTCATATATGTGAACATTCTGAGATATAAATGTAAGAAATTATTGAACGAGAAATTTCGGAATATTTGAGAATTCATGAGAAAGGCCATTCATAACGGGAGGTCTTTTCAACAGGAATTTATACGTGTCGGGTATGCGGTTGCACGTATAACTATTCGCCGCCGCCGACGACGACGTCGACATCATCACCGTCGAGAGCGCGCGAGGTGCTGCTCGAATTATCCCGAACTCTCAACTCTGTGATAGACGGCGACGTCACGGCGCCGCCGGAGGAGATCTTGCGCGATATCTCGCGCATCGTTTCCCTGGAGATCGGCGCGAGGAACGACAACGTGTACGAGTACGTCTGCCCATCCTGGGCGTTCAACGATAAGAATCCTCCATGGCCGAGCTGCGCGAAGAACGTGCCATCGAGGGTGAATCCAATTAACTCGAAACTCTACGTCGGCCCTCGTTGCCTCTACGGGTACAATCCGGTGCGGTCCGCGCTCAAGAGCGACAGGACGGCGAGACGCGAAGGCGACAGCGAAACGAAAGAGCGCTCCGGCCTCGCGAGAAAGAAACCTTGCGAAACCGAGTCCAAGTATTCGACGGTGAGTACACGCCCGCGCTTGACCTGATTAGCGATTGGCTATTTGAAAGGGCAGACTCTTCGGATTTACGTTGCCCGATTGATTGTGCTCCAATTGACACACGAGCGTGCGTGCTTGTAGCTACATGGTGGAACGTTGTTCTAGCAGCTGGAGTACAGCGACGTCGGGTCGTCCACCGAAGAAACGATCGCCTCGTCGTGCGCGAACGGCTGGAATCGTCGCTTGGCCGTCCGTGGCCTGGGAGAGGACTTCGACTTCACGCTCGACGTGACGCAGGCCGAGCGTTTAGGCCGCATGATCGCGAGAGCGAAACGGAAACGGCAATGGTGCAGAGCCCTGACCACTCTCTTCGGTTTAGCTTTCTTCGTGTTGAGCGTCGTGGTCGTCTCGTTATCCGTAACGAGGGGTCGCAAGGTGTTTGGAAGCATGTAAGAGTTCGGGAGGAAGGAACTTATCCGCGTTCTAACGTTCGTCCAAGGGTACTCACTCATGGAACTGATACGTCTGGTGTCTACTTTTATCAAACGTAGATTAACTTTAATCTCGTTTCTCTACTTACCTTGTATCTTGTTCTAATGCCGGTTTCTACCAGCTCGGATGAACTTTAATCTCGGTTTAACTCACTTTAGAGTAAGGTGACCAAATGCGGATGAAAAATTTGATGAGTCGCTAATAAGCGACATTTTAAAGAAATTTACTTCAATTTTGCTATTTTGTATAGTAACAACTTTATACTATATTGTTGATATCATCCCAGTAAGAAACGATTCGTCAAAACGACGTTGAATCGACATCGATCGACGAGCCATTTCTCGCTGGGATAAAAGGCATCGACGTGTTTTCATGTCGCTTCTTAGCGACTCCTCAAATTGTCGATCCGAATTTGGTCACCTTACCCTACATCTTTCTCTGGTTTTAAAAATTAGAAAAAGAAGCAATTTAAGCCGAGACTAAAGTTGATCTGCAGTGGTAGAAACGGGCATTATTCTAACAATTAGAGATATCGAAAGATAAAGAGCAAGTTAAATTTTAAGCGATTAAAGTTAATCTATTGAAATGGACATAAAACGCACTAAGCGCTCCGACACTTGTTCTTACCACAAGTATCTTGCGACGCAGATACTCTCTCGTTTCATAATATATCCCTTTCAGTACCTTATAGTATATATACGTATATATGTATGTTTAATGTGGAATCCATGGAAGATCCTGCAATCACGACATATGGCTGTGACCATGTTCTTTTGCATGCGTATTGCACCGCGTAACGCATCACGATCGTGTTAGATATGGGTAGATTAGACTTCTTGCGGAGGCAGGCGCGAATAACGTTACCAGTCGATTGACGTCGCGCGGCAAAAAAAAACGGGTATCTACGTAGAACTACAGGGGGGACTTCGGCCGAACTCCGAGTAACTTAATTCGGCGATCAGTTCAACTGGCAGAATTGTTCAAATTGCATAATACCCTGATGTAATCCTTTTCTATTCATTAAGCAACAAAAGAATAACATAATTACACCCGCGTTGACAAAGTATCGCTTGATGAATTAATTAGCGGCTGATTCAACCGGCAAAATTACTGGCTGAAATTTCTGAATTAAAAGTTCTGATCTGATCTTGTGTTCTATATTTTCTATTAACGGTTTTGATTTTTTTCCAGCTTTAAGAATTCCAGCTAGGAAAAGATAAAAAGGAATCGCAAATAGTGCAAGTGATCGTTGAATTAAAACAAGACTTCACTTTGTAAAAGTCTTTATGAATCAGCGTAATCTGTCCAGATAGCATAGAGAGATTCTGCCGAAAGACAAGAAACGTATTCCTTTTGAACTTTTAAAAGTATTTTTAGAATAAAAATACGATGGAGAAAGAATTTATTTCATAATTCGGGAATTAAAAAAATGGATTAGAAAAAGAATTTAGTTCATAATTCGGGAATTTAAAGAGAATTCCTGAATTATAAAGTAAATTCCTTTTCCAATCCATTTTCTATTTTAAAATTCTTTTAAAATTCCTGAATTATGACATGAATTCTTTTTCTGATCTAAAATATTTTTCCATTTTCTGTTCTAAAAGTATTTTCAAAAGTTCAACAGAAAAATTCGTTTCATGTCACCAATTTCGAGTTCTCTTCCGGATATAAAAGGAATTCATTCTACAAGAATTCACATCGAAAAGGAATTCTTTTGCAGTTTATTTCGAGCGGATTACGCTAATTGATAAAAAACATTTCTAAGTGGATTCTTTTTGAGCTCGTAACGATCACTATTTGAGCATTCAAGTAAAACTCTAAGACTCCAGAAGAGTTCCCTTTACATACGAAAAAGGAATTAAAAACCGGCGACGTAAAGTGAAAATTCTTTTGAAAAGAATTCATTTCGCAATTAAAAAGGAATTTTAATTTCTCTCCCGAGAAGTAAATCGAGGTTAAAATGAATCCTCGGTGGAAACGACAAAATATACAATTCTCCACGTTAACGGAACGCAATAAGCGTTGCTCGTCGAGCTAATCGCCGATCAAGCCTAGCCGCGCGAGTTCAACTGAGGCCGCCCCAAGACTAGCTAGTAACCTGCGCGCGCCAATTTGACACTAGTCCGACCCTAGTCGCGCACGGCGCGGCGCTAGCGAACGAGAGAGAGAGAGAGAGAGAGAGAGAGAGAGAGAGAGAGAGAGAGAAAAGCCGTATAACGGATGTGTCGTGTATACGTGTGTGTGTACATCGCGCGAGTGACAGATCGAGCGTACCGTCGAGGGGACGAGAAACGTTAGAACCCGAAGGGGCGAGTCGACGTAGCGCTTATCTCCAGCAGTGATCTCCAGGTCGACCACCTCTCGTAGCCGACGTAGTTGCCGCACTCGGGGAATCCCAATTCTCCCACCCGCGTTCTCGTCCAGGTTATGCTCGTATCGATCTCTCCCACGCTCGCCCGATCGCCGTCCCGTGGAGGCTCGATATAACGTCGCTTCTCCGCCTCTTCACCGAGGTAAGAATCATGCTCTCCGCGAGTTTCCCCGGATGCGAGCACGGTACGGCGGACGCGACGACGAGCAAGTGGGGAAAGCGATTCGGCCGTGCTGGTCGCTCCGGGGACGGACATCCGTCATTGTTGTCTCTCCAGAAAAGAAAAAACTGTTTTCTCTGTGTAATTTTAGATCGTAAAGATAAGTTAGATACAGAATGGTGTGCGTGCCATGCTTCGCGGTTCCTATAATCCTAATAATATGGAGGTTCCTCATACAACCGTTGCTCATCAAGTGGTGGCCGTTGAGGAATAAGGGACAGGAGGCCAAGGGGGATCAGCCGTGTCCGGAATTGATAAAGGAATGCAAAAACGGGACGTGCACCCTGTCGTGGAAAGATAAGGGTGACACGGTAAAGAAGAGCGAGTGAGGGGAAACGGCTCGTCGCCCCGGGCACGCCGGTTTGCTCAACCGACATGGATTACTTCGACACTTACGTTTTGTTGTACAATCAAAAGTTTGTATTTTGAATATATTCTATTAACACGACGCTGCGAGCCGCGCAGGACACCGAGATCCGGTCTATATACGATTTGACTAATCTCTCATCTCGATTAATTAAACCATGTGACTGTTCGCTGTACATGGCGTTCGGCATCGACGCGTTTAGAACGTGTTAAATCGTATAAAGATTAGTTGTGTGGTTCGTAAGGTCTCTTTTTGTTACACGTAAGTACGCGCACATGATAAATTTGTTAAACGGAACGCAATTATTTTATGTATGATAGAGTAAATATATAATATACATAAATTTTCCCCTATGCGTTACATTTTAACATTTTAATGATCTAACACGTAGGTTGGAGCAAAAGAGATTCTAGGAAATGTGCGCGAGTCTAGAAATTTAAACGACATTCGTATCGATTTCTTTATAAACATAGTTCATTAGACAGTCGTGTTGCCAATGTTTGTACGAACACCGAAGTTTGGACCGTTAATATATGACATTAAACATACAATCTATTGCTTTAACACATACATGTATACATATATATAAAACAATATCGTAGTTTATTTAAATTTGGACTTAAGTTGCTCTTCATTTGTTGCACCAGTTGATTTATGTGAACGGCAACCATAGGAAAAGAATAATTCTACAATCTAATTGATTTACAGAGGTATGTGCTGATCATGGACATAATATATCTAGACAGTGTTTGCCTTTATGCTCGGTTTAGATATATTATGCCTATGGTGCTGATTAATAAAAACGTCCACAAAGATAAATTGTAAATTTAACGGTATATTAAATAATCGTTAAAATATTTATATAAAAACTGTCGAAACAGTCGATGTTCACCTCGTCAATAATTCACGGATTCATCGGTTAATGGTTACGAATGTTACGCTACATTTATCCATAATAATTCTTATTATTATGGATAAAGCATTATTTCGTCGGCGATTGACTTAAATCTATAGGAACTTGGAAAAATTTAGTCTGAAAAGTACACTTAATAGATATGACAGATAAGCAAATCGTACATATATTACAAAACCTTGATACATTTTTTTAAATAAAGAAAATAAGCGTAGATACATTAATATTGCAACATAAACTTTTGTTTTGTTCGCTTTTCTAAGACATTTCTCTCTCTCTCTGCGTAAACATTACAACATAAAGTAAAAAAATTCTTAGCTTAGCAGTTTTGATGAGCTTAATGAGCCAGTAGTTTTGACGAATGTTACAAAAGATCCTTGAATTATTCATAATAAGAATTGCCTGAGTTGTTGCCAAAATACCTGAGTTATTTATGAAATACCTGAGTTAATATTTATTCGATACTCAAAAGTTCAATCTCATATACCAGATTGGCAAAAGGAGGAATGTCGGGTGGACAGCCACGAGCTCCATATCTGCAAGGAAAACACGACGCTATTAAATTCACAAAATAACGTGACAGACATCCTATTTAAATAAAGTGATTGAAAGCAATTATTAAGATGGCTTTTTCCATTAAAATATAGAAATGTGAAACGAATTGGAATGAGCACGAGCAAGCGGCGTAAGCGGGAGTACCGTACGTACCCCATACTCGATGGTACTCCAAGAAAACGCTTTCCACCAACTCTCATATTAATTATTCCTTCCTCCACACCGGGGAGCAGATGCCTTTCACCGATTTTGAATTTGATGCCTTCTCCTGTTTTGCACTTATCGACTTTTCTTAACTTCTCGGTCCAATCGTTCCCACACACGACCCAAGCCTTATAATAAATTACGGCAACTTTGCCCGGTAACGCGACTTCTCCGGTGCCGTCTTCTAAATCTAATATTTTCAGACATTTACACAGACTGACTTTCTCGTCATCACTGTTACAACTTTGATCTTTCTGTGTCTCATTACTTTTCTTCTTGTTCATTTTACGTCTCTTCTTTTCTGGTATTTCTTCCTGCTCTTGTCCTCGAGATCTTATTTCCTGCATCGTCGAGCTATTACTTTGACCTCCGTTCTGACTATTATTGCACGATGTACGTGTATTGTTAGTGACATTGCTCTCAGCCTCACTATTACGAAGTGCTCCTGCTTTTTGTATATTTTCGCGACTCTTTATTACCTTTGATATCTGTTTCACAACTTTTGAATGAACTTTCAACCTCGGTTGTCTCTGTTCGAGGTCCTTTTCTACGACTGACGCGTCTGGTGGCTTGGAATCGCGTACAAACCACTGACCGTTTTCCCACGATGTTATTTCCATTGCCTGAAGAGATCTTATTGCATATTCTGCATAATTTTTTTCTTCTAGCGATACTCCTGTCTTACTCCGTATCGGTGCCACAACCTGTATCAATTGCGCAGTTAAGAGATCTTCCCAGTCTACTTCGGTTGGTGAATCATCTAAATAATATCCCAATAGGTGTACAATGCCTGCGCCTTTACAGGTAAATGTCAGAGCAGTTTTTTGGCGGATATTTATATTGAGCGGTACTTGCCACACGCTTTTCTTGTCTAAAGTGCAAATCAGACGATATGTCAGCATACTGTCAAAACTCGCCATTACTTGTATCGGTCCGTCATCTGCGAAAAAAAAGACAATAAGAATTTTTCCAGGCAAATATTGTCCCGCGAGGGACATCCTTTATGCCGGGATTACGATGAACTTAACATAACGGGACGCGACGGGACGTGAAGTGACGTGAAGTGAACTTAACGTTAAGGTATTTTGTGAAATTACGATCGCCGTAACGTGTCGTAAAACAGCGTGCATTGACAGCGTTGATTTGACAGCGTTGGTAATTCAAAATGAATTCTGCTGTGAGGCATTATCGTAATCAGCCGCATATAAAAACAATGTGTTTAGGTTTTACGTTACGTAACGTCCCGTCGCGTCCCGTTACGTTAAGTTCATCGTAATCCCGGCATTACAGTCCGCGATAATAAACAAGACAACAAACACAGCGCATTTATTCTGACCTACAGCATTACAATGCGCTTGTTCAATATTACAATGCGCGCCACGTCATCATGGACTTATAAATACAATGGACTGCGTATCTCCGTTAGAAAAGGTCTCCGTCAAGACCGAAAGAGGCGCAGAATGCGCTCCTTCACAGACCCATGCCTTTATCTTTCTTTCGATTTACCCTAACGCAAACTTTTTCGACAATTTCGTTATTTAGCGTAATATTAGATTCGCGTGCTCAACCTTTGGACTGCCTTTGGTATTTTTTTCTTTTCATTAAAATAGCGTTCTTTCTTTCCCTAGAATTGTGCATATAAACATTGCGCAAAAATAACATAGAATTGCGAGATTTGTCAAGAGCCACAAAAGTGGCTTTTCCGGCGGTCTAAAGGTTCCCTTCAAACGCTGAAACGAGAAGTTTTCGTTAACGGGAAAATGTGCGGGTCGAGGGTCAATAACCTTTACGAGGTCATTGATTGGATAGGACCCTGCCATTACAAATCGCTCGTACTCGCACAGAGCTACGCGTCACCACCCCATACATCCGTGCTTCTTTCTTTCGGTTTGATGGAAACTTTCTCGACAATTTCGTTACTTAGCGTATACTCGGAAAAAATTCCTATTGAATTCGCGCGCTTAAGCTCGCACAAGCGATTCATCCAGCACTTGCGCTTATTGTTTCGCACGCTGAATCTAGAATTGTCTCGCGCGAGAGATCCCTGGGGGACATCTCTCCGTAGGATCACCCGAATTCTCTTCCCTATCTGCTTTCCCGTTTTGCGGAGGGGGAGCATCGCTGCTCCCACTGCTCGAATAAAGGCAAACTCTCGGTCTCGATATATCATGCCTATGGGCATTTCTGTCCAGGGGCCCGATTCCTGAATTCATTCGAAGAAGAAACGTATACGAAAATTCTGCACTGACAGAAAAGTTGAAAGTCGATTGGTTAGAGCCATGCGAATAGCCAACCAACTTGCGACTTTTCTGTAAGAGCAGAATTCTCGCATACGTTTCTCCTTCGAATAAATTCAAGAATCGAGCCCCAGACTTTTACTACAGGGACTCTATACGGGGCTATGTAAAATTGGCGGCGTGAATGCGCAGCTCACGTATTGGTCCATGTGGCGTCGCGCCACGTGTACGGCCAGTCTATCTTCGTCACTCACTGTATGTCGAACAAAGATAGAAGACGCTTTTAGCGCTGAAAGCGCGCTCCCCGAGCGCACCTATAAGCGCTGGTCTACAATAAGTGGAGTAAGCGTGGAGTAAGGAGTAAGTCCCAGTCTACAATAGAGATTTAAGCCCTAAGCCTTAAGAAATTGACTAATCACAGTCGCGCATTCTACTCATACTTGACCGTGATTGGCCAATTTCTTAAAGCTTAGGGCTTAAATCATCTATTGTAGACTGGGACTAAGGGAGAACCCTAACTTCTAGCTTTTGGTGTAAGAAAGCTGAAATACGGGCATAATTTTTAAAATATTTGTAACACTGATTGATGGCATTTTGATTCGCCGAGAGTAAGCCTAAGAGCTGAAGTAGGAGTAAGAAATAAAATGGATTTATTTCCTTACTTCTACTCCTTACTCCAGCTTACTCCATGTATTGTAGACCAGCCTTAATACTCCTGTATTGCTAACTCAGTAGGAGGACCGAGCGAAAACATTACGGTGCAGACGATACGCGTTTTAGCACGTTTGCGCATCGCGTCGAAAGTATCATTAATCAAGGCCAACGGTACACGATACTACCTACTGGGTTTCTTGAGGTAATAAGGAAGCGCAGTTTTCAGCCAACGGCAGACGAGACTATTTTTCCAGTAGGAAAAATTGTATTCTATCTGGAATCCTACTGGAAAAACAGTCTCGTGTGCCTTTAGATCGGGTGACTCCATGATTGAGAGGCCTAGTCTGTGTTTTGCACAGATAAAATATATATAAAATGCGCCATGAAGAATAATAACGTTCACAGAACAGGCCCCTGAATCCTGGATTGGCCCTCGCGAGCGATCCAGTGGACAAAATAGTGTCGTGTGTCGCTGACGGATATCAATCCAGTATCAACAAACGTGTTTGTCCTTGGTGTTTGTAACTCTAAAGCCCATCGCACAATGCCAGGTAACAGGCAACAGGTGTAGGGGATAGAATTTTTGACGCGTTGGATTCGTCGGAAATTTTCTGCTAGATCCAATACAACGCGCCGGAAATTCTATTCCCCGTACCTGTTGCTTGGCGTATTGTGTTGGGGCCTTCAATGGGATGCGCGATGTGGGAGATTTGGGACTCTTCGTTATCTCACCGCTATTCAGGATGTCCAAACTCGCTGAAGACAAGTGAAAGCCCTTTGGCACGTACTGTGTGTACAGCACGTTCGTCTTCAATATCATCCCTGTATAACGTAAGCAACACGGAATTAGGCGTATGATCAAGCGAGCGCTCTCATGATGGACGCTTTCCAGCAACGTGCACGCCGTTCTACCCTTTGCTGTTTGCTATTATTAAACAGGGATAAAATGATTCTCTGTGTTACACTGTCGGCTTGTCTCTAGCTGGAAAGCGCCCTATATTTAGGCGCCGCGAACGTCGCTGAACGAGACGACTTGGCTCGCGACGGATCTTATCAGCACACACTCTACAGATCAAATCTCGGAGCCTTACCCCACATCGTGTCGGCCGGCTGCTCGTACAATTCGCCGAATTAAAATGGAAGACTTAGATCGGAGAAAACGACGCGCGTCCGTACGCGACAACTCCCGCTAAGCAAGTGGTTGAAATTGCTGCGGTTCACGGACACCCCGGGCGGGACACCATCGAATCTCCCACCCATGTAAACCGGAACTTGGTTTACGTGAGGTAGGGGTTTTCGCGCGGTACCGAAAGATCTATTGACGCATGCGTCACAGATCAACCAACTTGCAAACGTGTTCGTTTCCTCTGTGTTGTAACTCGTAATGGAACGCGTGACGTGTTTTGGGACTCTTCGTAACGGCAACCTTCCATGTTCTCTTACGACGTTATCTTGTTTTACGTTATACGTTATGTATCAACACTCAAATCTGTCGATAACGTTTTGAAGGAGTCTACGAAGTCATCGCTATTAGTATATTGAAAGTCTACAGTTCGAACCATGGATTTTTCAGTACCAGCAGTTGGGACGTGACCAAAGTTTTGCCGACAGTATGCCTGAAAAAAATATAACAGAATTTGTTAATGTAATAAACGACAGTTTTGAAACTGGGGCTCGATCATGGGGATCTTTTTCTGTAACGTGAACTCGTAGAAAGCGCAAAATTTCATTAACGAATTCAACATTTGTCAATGAAAATTGTCACTTTTCACGAGCTCACGCTCGAGGAAAAGATTCACGATGGAGTCTCTCAACGGAATTCACCGTTTCGCAGTAATCTAAATAATGTACACGCACCGGCATAAATGCTGTCCCTATCCCTTGTGAGGTGCACGCATACAACTACAGGGACTCTAGTTGTGTGCGTGCACCTCACAAGGATATTAGGGACAGCATTTATGCCGGTGCGTGTACACCCCACTAAAATTAATGTTTAAATGTACAAAATGACAGATTCTGTTGGACTTCTACCGACGATCTGCTGTTAGATTATAGCAGGCAGGCTTTGCCGATGGGATACGAATTTAATCCCTCGACGCACGGTCTTCGATCGACGTCGGACTTTAGCTATTTACATTTCAATGTTCTTCATCCGTTCAATTCAGTAGCGCTCTCATCGTTCTCGTCCGAACGGCTTTCGGCTAAATTTGCGTATTCAAATTCCGAATCGTCCGAGCCGCTCACTTTCCCTCGGGAGTCTTTTCTGCAGTCAACAATAAAATAATGTAATGTCAAATCTTTACTCGATAGTCCGGGAACAAAGATAATTATAGAATACTGTAAGGAAATATACAGGGTGAGTCATTTTAATCGACGCACGCAAACATCTCTTCGTGAGCCGTTCGTTATGGATTACATATTTTAGAACGTCAGATGTTAAATATTATTTTGGTAACGTTGACGAAATGATATCCTGCTTACTGGAAAATGGCTAAATAAGAGGAGGCCGTACAATGCCGCGCACCAATGGTTGGGATATTAGATTCGCATTATTTCTCAACATCGCGCCAATATATTGTGCCACTGTGGGGTTGCGGGGCGACACGCGACGTCGTTGCGCCGTAAATAAGCGCGCTACGAGGCGTACAAAAATAAATTACGAGTTTACGCCGCGCTTCGAGATAGTCGCAAGTTTCGCTTTGGGCAATTCCGCGAATTAATCGCCGATCGGTCTAATCAGCTCTCGATCAAAGTCACCCTCCGGTCGTGACGTGCGCACGCATGGGCACACGC